CCCACCTGGACCCCCAGCCCCGGCCGCCTCACCTTCCGTGGTCACCGTGGCATACATGAGGGCGCCCGCGGCGTTGGCCTTCACCTCCTCCACCGGGTCCCTCAGCAGGTGCACCAGGATGGGGATGACGTCATGCCGCCACATCTGCTTCTTGCCCTCCAGAGGGATGCTGGGCCAGAGAGGGGACAGCTCAGGGGCTTTGCTTGGGTGGAGCAAGGGAGCAGGACCTCGGGCCAGCCGAGGGGACACCAGAGACAAGACCTTGTGGTGGGACCATCTCTGTGGTCGGGTCTGGCCAAGGCCTGGGCCCCAGGGTGCAAGGGAGCATTGACGGGAAGTCGAGCCTCATTCCTACACCCAGACCATCTGGGAGCCTGGCCGGGGCCGCTAACGGTGAGACCACCCGGAGCCAGGGGGCGACGGAGCCTGGCCCTAAGGTATCACGGGAAGAAACCCGATGGATCCCAGCCCAACACAGAGGAGCAGGACCGGGGGGCGGGGCGGGGGGGGGACCACAGGAAGACTCGTTCTGTCTCCGTAAGAAGCCCAGCTGCCAGGACCGAAGCCACGCAAACAGCAGCCACCTCAGGCGAGATGACCTTTGTGGTCACTTGTTAAAATATATATTTGTATTCATTTCGTAGAGGAAGGGAGAAGGAGAGAGAGAGGAACATCAATGATGAGAGAGAATCATGGATCGCTGCCTCCTGCACGCCCCACACTGGGGATCGAGCCCGAAACCTGGGCCTGTGCCCTGACCGGGAATCGAACCGTGACCTCCTGGTTCATAGGTCACCACTCACCCCCTGAGCCCGCCGGCCTGTTTGGTCACTTTCAATCCTGGCATCGCAGGACGCTGTGAGCGTGAAAGTGGGGGATTCCGGGAGAGCCTCAGCCCATGGGCCTCCGTGGGGAGGGGTCCTGTGCATGGTGAGGTGGGGAGCGGCAGCCCTAGCCCCTCCCGCCCACTCTGTGCCAGGGGCACCCCTCCCTCCTGCGCTGCGACACCAGGACAGCCTCCCCACGGACTGACGGCGATGAGCGTGCGGGCGGCCTTGCAGCGGATGTTGTCGTTGGGGCTGAGCAGCTTCTCCTTGAGGAAGGGCACCACGCGGCTGTTGAGCGCCTCGGTGGCGTCCTCCTGCAGGCAGGCCGCCAGCGTGTCCAGCAGGATCTCCTGGATGTTCTCCTCCTCCCGGTGCAGCTTGCGCACCAGCGAGGGGATCAGGCCGCTGCTGACGATGCCCTTGGCCCCTGCGGGACGGAGAGCGCACTGAGGGGCCGCCCTGCCCCCACCACGCCCGG